CTTCTCGTTCTTACTTGCAATATATCCATTGAGACTTGTGCCTATGTGCTTCTCTCTTGGTACGCATTGCGGGGGGAGCCGCTGCGCCCTCCCCCCTGCACCCCCCCCCACCCGCTTTATTTTAAAACCGGTCTCCACTTTGCTACTACATCCCTTTCTTTTGCATAAGATATCGTTTTTTGGTTTATTTAATTTTTTTTTTTGTGATATACATCGAGACTGTGCCTATGTGCTTCTTTCTTGGATCTTCCTTCTTACTTGCAATATTATCCATTGAGACTGTGCCTATGTGCTTGTGTCCTTGGTAAAGCTTTGCGGGGGAGGCGCTGCGCCCTCCCCCCGGCACCCCCCCAACGATTTTTTAAAACACCGTTCCCACTTGCTACCTACTATTCCTTTTCTTTTTTGCATAAGCATCATAGTTTTTTGGGGTAAATTTCATCTTTGTCTTGATATCCACTCGAGACTTGGTGATATGTGATTCTGTTCTTGATCTTCTAGTTCTTACTGCAATATATCCATTGAGACTTGTGCCTATGTGCTTCTCTGTTGGTACGCATTGCGGGGGGAGGCGCTGCGCCCTCCCCCCTGCACCCCCCCTCCCGCTTTTATTTTTAAACCGGTTCCCCTTGCTACCTACTATTCCTTTCTTTTTGCATAAGCATCATCGTTTATTTGGGTTAATTTCATCTTTGTTGATATCCATCGAGACTTGTGCCTGTGTGTTTCTTTCTGGATCTTCTCGTTCTTACTTGCAATATATCCATTGAGACTTGTGCCTATGTGCTTCTCTCTTGGTACGCATTGCGGGGGGAGGCGCTGCGCCCTCTCCCCTGCACCCCCCCACCCGCTTTTATTTTTAAACCGGTTCCCCTTGCTACCTACTATTCCTTTCTTTTTGCATAAGCATCATCGTTTATTTGGGTTAATTTCATCTTTGCTGATATCCATCAAGACCTGTGCCTATGTGCTTCTTTCTTGATCTTGTCGTTCTTACTTGCAATATATCCATTGAGACTTGTGCCTATGTGCTTCTCTCTTGGTACGCATTGCGGGGGGAGGCGCTGCGCCCTCCGCCCTGCGCCCTCCCACCCGCTTTTATTTTTAAACCGGTTCCCCTTGCTACCTACTATTCCTTTCTTTTTGCATAAGCATCATCGTTTATTTGGGTTAATTTCATCTTTGTTGATATCCATCGAGACTTGTGCCTATGTGCTTCTTTCTTGATCTTCTCGTTCTTACTTGCAATATATCCATTGAGACTTGTGCCTATGTGCTTCTCTTGGTACGCATTGCAGGGGGAGGCGCTGCGCCCTCCCCCCTGCACCCCCTCACCCGCTTTTATTTTAAACCGGTTCCCCTTGCTACCTACTATTCCTGTCTTTTTGCATAAGCATCATCGTTTATTTGGGTTAATTTCATCTTTGTTGATGTCCGTCGAGACTTGTGCCTATGTGCTTCTTTCTTGATCTTCTCGTTCTTGCTTTGGCAATCTATCCATTGCGACTTCGGCCTATGTGCTTCTCTATTGGTACAGCATTGCGGGGGGAGGCTGCGCCCTCCCCCTTTGCACCCCCACCCGCTCTTATTTTTAAAACCGGTTTCCCGTGCTACTACTATTCCGTTATTTTTGCATACGCATCATCGTTTATTTGGGTTAATTCATCTTGTTGATTCCATCGAGACTTGGCCTATGTGCTTTCTTCTTGATCTTCTCGTTCTTCGTGCAAATATACCATTGAGACTTGTGCCTATGTGCTGCTTCTTGGTACGCATTGCGGGGGGAGGCGCCTGCCGCCGCCTCCCCCCTGCATACCCCCACCGGTTCTTTTTCAAAACGTTTCCCTTGCTACTACTACTACTACTACTACTATTACTACTACTACTACTACTACTACTACTACTACTACCCTGAGCATCGAATATTGATCCTAATCAATTTATTCACTACTTTTTTCAATTGATTTTTTGTAGATTGATTTGAATTGATTTTTTCAAAAAGTTTCAGATTGAAAACATTGATTTACAGATTGATTTGTAGATTGATTTGCAGATTGATTTTTGCCCTCAAAAACCTACTAAATTTCAATTGATTTTTTTGATTTCTAAATTGATTTTTTTTGGGTTGTTCAGCTTCCCAGCCACTGCAGCCATTTCAGTGCAAGACTTTCAAAAACCTACCTGCAAATCCAGAAATCCTTGAGAAAGGGCCTTTCACAAATCCTTGTGAAAGGGGAACCTTGTGAAAGGGGAACCTTGTGAAAGGGGAACCTTGCAAAAGGGATGCCAACCAGAGGTGGCTCAAGACACAGGTCTAAGCCATACATCGAAAGTGGGCTTCTGACCAAAGTGCTGCTGAGGCATGAAGACATACTAGTGAATTTGAAAGGGTATGAGAGCTGCAGAAGGAATAGTGGAGCTGACCCAAAAGGCTTGGTTCACTGTTTGGATCTGGTAAATGATGTGCTGGAGCTGGAAGCATCTGCAGAAATCCACCCAGCACCCTTGAGGCAAAGCATGCTTCACCTTCTGACCCAGAAGCCCAGCCTCAACAACACTTGCCAAAGTGGTAGCTAGTGGGTTCACATGAGATCAGAAAGGCTGAATGTGTTACTCTTTCACATTCGAAGACTAGCCAGATCTGGGCCAACACAAGCCTGTGTGAATGCCCTTTCTGGCCAGGAGCTAGGGAGGCTCCAAAACACTTTGAAAAAGGTGGTAATCCAGGAGGCACATGTACCATTGCAAAATGGGGAGGAAGATGAGAAGCAAAAGGAGGAAGATGAGAAGCAAAAGGAGGAAGATGAGCAGGAAGAAGAGGAGGAAGAGGAGGAAGAGGAGGAAGAGGAGGAAGAGGAGGAAAAAAGGCCAAAGGTCAAAAAGCTGAAAGTTAACCCCAGTGATGTCAGCTGTGATTCACAGGGGTTTCCAAATATGCTCAAAAGCCCACAGCAAAAGCAGGAAGTCATGCCCAGCAGACTCTTGAAAAAGAGGGTGGGGCAAGCCAAAAAGATCCAAGAGATTGAACCAGATAAAGATTTGAGAGGGAGAATGGGCTTTGAAAAGCAGAAGCCTTACAAAAAGCCAGCTGCAAAAGCCAAGTCCAGCTGCCAAAGGCCACTTGCACATACTTGCACTCAAAAAGCCAGCAGGCAGTAAAAAAACTCTTGGGAAAGAGGACAGCAAGGGAACCTTTGCAAAAGGGTGCAGCAAGAAGCAAGAACAAAAAGCCTTGCAGGGTGATGGGCCATGGCTGGTTTTGCAAAAGACAGTTGCCAAGAAGCCAGAAAGAGCTTATGTGCTGGGCACCAAGGTGGAAGGCCTGAAGCCTAGACTTATAGTAGAAGTCACCAAAACAAGGTCACAGAAATACAGCTGGGTTTTGGACAGGATCATTGACTCCTTGAGAAAGGGGAATCTTAGCAAGCCAGAAGCAATAGCACTCAGAGAGAAAATGTGCAAACAATACCCTTGAGAGAGGGGGACATGCAAAAAGCAGCACAACCTTTGCAAAAAGGTGCCTTTGAACAAGGGATTGCCTTTGCATTGGCACCCTTGCAAAAGAGGAACCTTTGAAAAAGGGTTTGCCTTTGCAGTATACCTTTGCAAAAAGGAACCTTTGGAAAAGGGATTGCAGCAAGGAAACCTTTGAGACAGGGTTATGTACAGCCTTAGGACTTTTCAAACTGCACTTGCAGGATATGCCATCAGGCAAAAGCTTGCTGCAGCACAGGGGTTGGGCTTGGGGTTGCCTAAATGGTTTTTGGGCTTGGGGCTGCCCAAACTAAAGAATGAAAAACATATATACATATATAATTGCATATAAAAAATGAGTATATATATAAATATATATATATATATCATTTTGTTCAGGAACAAAAATATACAACAATACTTTGAATAAGAGTAGATATATTTAGATTTATTTGAACATTTTATATATAATTTGGAAAGCACACATGTACACATATGCCTAATTTTTCAATATGAACAAACAAAACAAAAATAGGTAAATAAACAAATATTTTAATATGTATATTTATTTATATTTCATTTTCTAGTTAAACAAACAAACAAAACATACTCCCTTATCAATTAGCTGTTTGGTGGTTGGTTCCTCCAAGTGTGGTAGGTTTGGGACCCTTGAAAAAGGGCTGCAATACAATTTCAAACCAAAACTGTAAATTATATGTCCTTATCAATGAGCTGTTTGGTTGTTGGTTCCAAGTGTGGTAGGTGGGGAACCCTTGCAAAAGGGTTGCAACACAATTTCAAACCAAACCTTCCAACCCAATCAGGAAATAAATGGAAAACACCAAGCTGATGAAATCTGATGAAATCTGGTGAAATCTGATGAAATCTGATGAAATCTGAGATTTCACCAGATTTCATCAGATTTCATCAGAACTGATTTTTTTCCTAATTTCCACATGTCCATGGAACAAAACCAAATTGAAATCCAAATCAAGCCAAAAAACAAACACCCAGAACCAAATTGCATTGCAGCCTTTTGGCTTTCAAGGTTTGTTTGTGCAGCCATTTTGCTTTTTCAGCTATGGGGAAATCAATGAAGGTTATGAAAAAGGTGATGAAATCAACCCCTGCAAAGGGGAAGCCAACCTCTGGGAACAGGAATCAAACCCTTGCCAAAGGGAAAAAAACATCTGCAAAGGGGAAGCCAGCCTCTGCAAAGGGGAAGCCAACCTCTGCAAAGGGGAAACCTTTGAAAAATGGTGCAGCCCAGGCAGGAATCTTGAAGAAAACAACTTGCAAAAGTTGGGGCAGCTGTCCCTTCAAGACAAAATCAAAAAAACGCAGAAAACAATGATGATGAAAATGAAGCAGCAAAGGAGCTGCAGCTCAGCATGACCCCAGCTGAGAAAAGGAGGGCTTGGTCCAAACACCAAACCCACCTCAACAAGGATGGCAATGAGGAAGAAAGGGATGCATTCAACAATGCATCCAAAAATGAAAAGGGTGAGCTGACAGCCCTTTTCCTC